CACTACCGTAGCTGCTGAGGACAAATAGGTGAGTGGGTTAGACCTAAGCACCCAGAGAATTTACATTTCAGTCTTTCTTGCAGGGACCTGTAGCCGCTCTGGTTTAAGACTTAGTTTGCATGAAAAACAACAACAACAATATGTAGTCTTCAAACCTGCACGAGGGGTGGGGAAGGTGGCTGAGAAGAGGGTGGTGGGCTAGCTGATTGTAATAATGCTAGAATTCAGGAGGCAGTGGGTAAGGAATGGATGGATGGCAAATATGTCGGTATTTGAAATGTTCATTAGTTTGGTGAGTGAGTTAGAAGCTACCAGTTGTACGGCCAGGTCAAAGGAAGTCTGGTTTATAGCAAGAGAAGACATAATTTGCAAAGCAAGATTATGAGACCATTTGAAAATGATGCATTAAAGATTGCAAAGAAGGTTTACTCTTGAATATGCAAATACATCTGTAGGCTGGGATACTAAGGAATAAGAAAAATTATAGTTCATTCTAGAAAAGAGAAGGCAGTTGGGGACTATGTACCTGACTGAACAAAAGCAACGAGCTGGACCTTCAGTGTTGCAGGTGGGCAATATTGGTAAGAAGTGAATCTACCCCACCCAATTCCTGAAGCATGCATGGTTAAGAGGAATCAATCCCTGCAGAAACTACTGAGGAAGTGTGTGTAGGTAGGTGTACATGCATAGGTTTGTGCATGGGTGTGCAAACACTGCCATGTTTGTCTGTGTATGTGTGCCTGATGAGCATGTGAGTTTGGAGCTCCACGTTACCACCTTACCACCTTCATTACCCAACCACAAAGGAGGTGAGGGTTTTATCAGCTAAACAAATTGAGCTACAAATCTGTCAGACTGACTTTAACAAGAGAGTAAAGACAAGAATGAGTTGGGACACCAAAAATGAATCAAAAGCAAAATTTTATAATGAACCATGAGACTCCTACATTGCCCTCCACCCACATACACACACTTGTAAAATGCTTGTAGCCAGGAGAACATAATTTACTAGGTATAAAACAAAAGTATTCTTTTCGGGTAAAAAGAAATATATCTGGATAAATAACCACGACACACAACGTTTGAAGAGCCTTGGTGAAAACTCCCAACAAATGCTGGGCAATGAGGCATGCCCATTGACTCATTATGCCAACAGAGACACTGCTTTTCACATAGAAAACAAAATAGGATATCAACTATTATTATATGTGATAGGGATTAATGTAGGGCTTGGAATTCCCTTCAACAGTAGTTTTGCTGCACCTAACTCAAAGCTTCCATTTGCAAGTGTGTTTGGTGTTATCTCTTCAACCCTACATGTGCCCACCTTTCAGGTTTAAATAGTCTCAAAGGGAAATGGCAGGTATCTGTGCCTGCTTTGTTGTTGTTGTTGTTGTGTTTAAGTCAGCAACACTACTTCAAGCAACACAATATTTGTCAACAGTAATTTAGTAAAAATTGTATCTGATACTGGAAAAAAAATCCCAGAAGAAACAATATTCCATTACTGGTATTTATTTTTAGGGAATTGAAAAAAAAGGTTGTTTCTGAATTGATTGATTAAAGGGATATAATAATGTAGTTGTGGTAATGTCTGTTGCTTCTTTTACTAAACTCTCAACAAACAAAATAAATCTAAATTATACATAGGTGAATTAATCTCTTTTTAAGAGTTATTAATCATTTTTAAATTTTATGTCTGTGAGTGTTTGACGGCATGTGTGTACGTGCACTCTGTGTATACAGTGCCCACAGAGGCCAGAAGAAGTTACTCTATCTCCTGGAAGTGGAGTTACAGACAATTGTGGACTTCCATCTTTGTCCTGGGGATCAAAGTCAAGATCAAAAAGTGCAAGAGCAAAAAGTGCTTCTAAGTGTTGAACTTCTCCAGCCCTAGATAGAGGATTTTAAGCAAATGCGGATGTTTTTAGTAATTTGAATATATTCAAAGTAGAGAATATATGTCATTCACCTGTCTCCCTCTTAGCATAGGTCAGCAGCAGAGTACACTGCAGACCAGGCTTCTACTCTCATGATCATGTGACTGATGGAGCCCTGTGGCCTCAGGCTGCCTTCCAGTATCACAAATGAGTACACTGCACCAAATAGCTGGATCTAGAAAGGACCACACAGGAAAATTCAACTGTGCTCAATCGCTTTCTACTGCTGTGATAAACCAGAAGTCATCTGGGGGAAGAAAGAGTTTCTTTCAGTTTTCAGGTTCTAGTCTAAAATCAGGGAAACCAAGGCAGGGACTCAAGGCTAGAGATTACAGCAATAACCATGGAGAAATGCTGCATACTGGTTTGCTCTTAGGCTCACACTCAGCTACTTTTTATTTTACAGTCCAAACCAAGCCACTGAAGGATGACACTGTCCATGGTTGCCTGGACCTTCCACTTTAAATTAGTAATTACGACAATGTTTCACAGACTTGCCCACCAATCTCTAATGGGATGAAAGCAATTCCTCATCCTTATCTGATGTTCCATTTTCCCAGATATATCAAGCTAACAACCAATATTAGAAAACAAACCAGATAGTGACAAAGAAATGCAGTTTTCCGTGAACTTTAAATCATTATGCCTAGGCTGAAACATATCCTTGTTAAGTAAAAGAACCCTTGTAGTCAGCACATTTTTGTCAATGAGAAATAAGTTTGCTTGTTTCTTGGCCTGGGAATACGTGCTTCAGGATTTGACTGACTCTTGGAAAGCATTTCTTCATCCTGTTGATTGTGGAAGTGTCTTTCTTGCAAAAGTTGCTGAAAAGGTTGAAGAAATAGTAGTTGGCTGGCAGGAGGTCAGGTGAATATCACAGATGAAGCAGAACTTGAAAGTGCAGTTAGTTAAATGTATGAAATGTTGGCTGTGCAGTGCACTGTCAAGGTTGGTCTTGAATTATGCCTTGCTCACAATCTATGGTGGCTGCAAACATTGCTGATTTTGACACCTGTCATCAGTTTGTTGAACATAGTTCTCATAGATGACAATTTCCCTAGAATTCAGAAAGGCTTAGCCAATCAAACTGGAGAAGACCGCTAAACAGTGACCGTAACAATTTTCTGGTGCCATTTGGCTTTGGAAAGTGCTTTGGCGCTCTTCGTTGGTCATCGCTGGGTGTTGTATATAATCCTGTTTTGGTTCCACAACACAGTTTGATTGAGAAATGGTTTGTTGTGTAGAATAAGAGAAGACGACAGTCCAAGGGGACGTTTCAATTACTAAGCACCTACTTACTGAGTTTTTTGCCTCTTCAGTTTGATCAAATGTTGAGGGAACATTGAATTCACTTTGCAGTCTTTGTTAACTTCACACGTACTTGTAAGTAGAGCACCTTAGATGCTTGTTCTTAATTGTTATCACCAACTCCTGATAACTGGTCACTGAGCTTCTCATCTTCAAGGCTCTTCTCTTGTTGCAAAACTTCTTGAACCACTATGTACCAAATGTACGTTTGCTAGCAGTTCCTGTACCAAATTCATTGCTGAAGATGTAAGTTGTCTTCACTATTTCATGGGCCATTTTGAATATGAATAAAAAAATCAACTGCATCTGCTTTTTGTCTAATATTATTTCCAAACTATAAAATAGACGGGGAATAAGGATCTTTGGAAAAAATAAAACAAAGTAAGAAATGCACATTAAAAGGTATAGAATATAACTGTATTTATTGAAAGGTATTCACATATTAGATAATATTTTAGCAATATAAAAGCATCAATTAGTTTCTCATCAACATGTAGTACTGTTTCCACTTAATGTATGTCACCTTCCCACTATCATAATGTCAAAACTCTCTTAGGCTGGCATCTTACTCTGTCTGCCTCTAGATGCACACACACACACACACACACACACACACACACACACACACACACGTATGCATAGAAATAGATCGATAGGTACATATGTGAATGTTCTATTTAACCAAGTAAGTAAATTACAACCATAAGCAAGTACATCTTTTTCATATTTTCTTTGTAAATTCTCTACCACATGTGTCTCTTAGTCTAACACAAAGAGAAAAAAAAACATTCAGTGTTCTCCATAACAGTCTGGGGGTCAATGTCTTGATTCTCACTGTTAGTAGAGCTGAGCATAATATTCAAAGTTAGTAGTTACGAATTAAGCGCTTGGTGCTTTATTTATGTATGACAATTCAAGTCTCTTTGTCTTTAAGGGACATACTTTCTTACTTGAAAAAAGAAAACAAAAGCAGTATTACAATATTATAAAATTCCCAAATCCAATGAAAAGAAAGAAAATCATAACTTATTATCTAATGGAAATGAAATTCAGAATATGTGGATAAGTATATTGCGAAATATTTTTTGTTTCTTTGTGTTTTTTACTAAGATCAGTATTTTGAACCTGAGACTGAGGTAGAAGGATACTGGGGCAATGTTTTGGCTTCTACCGTCTAGAAAGATTACTTTTTCTAAAGGAATACAAATAAAGCTAAATCTCATCCAATTTAGTGTCATCATAATTTACCAGGAAGTCAACATTAGGAACTCTTCTGCAAGAGCTGAATATGGTAAAATTTCTTCAGAAAATATTCATTGATTTATAATCAATGTTTTTTGAATTTATCTTTACTTTTCTCTACCAAAACCACCAGGGACACCACTTTCATTTTAATAAAGCACTGATGTTCATCTGAACGCAGTGAGTTCTGAGCTCCTCTGTGTTAGACACCCCGCAATAAGAGAACAACAAATTGCTTACTGTAGTCTACCCACTCGTTTGCCTATTACAACCTTTATCAAAACCATATTAGACGATTACAAAAAGAGAGCGAATTACAACAATAATTACATAGAAAATGCTGACATGACTGCATCCATATTTCTAACAGCTGAAAAAGGAAGAATAAATTATTAAACTCATTTGAGAGTTTCTATGACTGAGAGATCACATTACACAGGGTTCATACCTGGACTTCTTCCCTGGCCACCTCCAGTCACCCCTGAATAGCTATTTGCTTTCTTCCCATAGTAAGATATTTCCCAAAGGCCTTCCTGAGGAGTACTCTGTAGCAGTCATGTTTCGTGTACGAAGAAGCACCAAGAAGGAGCGGTGGTTTTTATGGCGGATTTTAAACCAGCAGAATATGCCACAGGTAAGATGCTAATTTGTTTCATTAGGTCAGATGTGTTGTGCACCCAAATTTGGGAACAGATGTAGTTAGTACTCAAATGATGTGTTGGTTAGAGGAATGAATCATCAACAGAGAAATGGAAGCATTATAAATAGGATAGCCTTGATGATATCAATGATGTGAGAATCTAGTACACCAGAGGTTTGAGTTTTATCTTGTCTTAAAGATTTATTTTTATTTTATATACATAAATGTTTACATATATGTATGTGCATGTGAGCGCGCACTCGTGTGTGTGTGTGTGTGTGTGTGTGTGTGTATGCACACCATGTGCTTATCTAATGACCAGAGAGGCCATAAGAGAGTTTATGATACCCAGGACCTGGAGACATTAATAATTTTGTGCCACCAAGTGGGTACTGAGAATTGAATCCAGGTTTTCTGCAAATCAGTCAGCGTTCTGAACCACTGAGCCATGCCTCCAGCCCTGGTTTATTTTAACTTAGAGATTCATACTTTATCTGAAGACAGCAAAATTACTTACTTTCTATGGGAGCTAATTGACTGACTTCACCCCATTAATGACCTTCACCTCCTCTCATCACTAATATTATATATTATCCTGATACTTAACAATTTGTTTCATCAATAAACACAAATAAGAGCCACATGCCTTATGCCAAGAAGTGATAAGAATAAGAAATTTAGGTCTAGGGAGATACCTTAGGGTCTAGGGGAAAGTGTTTGTCATGCAAAACTGAGGGATGGAGTTCAGATCCCCAGCACCCACATAAACGGCAGGTGAAGGTGGGGTTCACCTGTCAGTCCAACATTCACAAGGTGGGAGATGGAATCCCCAGAGCAGTTTAGCTAGCAAGAGTAGTCAAATCAAAGAGCTCTGGGCTCAAGGGAGAGGCCTGGCCTCAATACAGAAAGTGGAGTACACTTGATAAAAGACACCTAATGTCCGCTGTGGTTCCTATATTCTTGTGCACATATGTGCATCATACTTACACACACACACACACACACACACACACACACACACACACACTCCACACCTAGGAACACATATACCCAAGCATGCCACACACAACCACACACACACACACACACACACACACACACACACACACACACACAAAAGAAAATAAGAGATTTTTAAAAGCATAATTCATGTTCTTATGGAGCAGAAAGTCTATATCATGGGAAAACATTTATGAGGACTTGTGCAGCAGAGTTATACTGAAGGAAGTGTGATGGGAGATGTCTGAGCAAGAAAGAAGAGTGAAGAACCCAGGAGACCTTGTGGAAATGACGGTGGAGCCAAGGTGGTGATGCAAACACCCTACAGACTGCAAAGTTACTTATTAGCATCACACATTTGTGTCCACTTCTGTACATAACCATTGGATGCCTTTAGCTTTGGTTAATCTTATTAATATGAATATAGTTCACAGTTTTACGATGGGATGATAATTTGAACTGAAAGGCATGTCATCTATAAAATATCTATCTTTGCCATGAAAATGATTAAGGGCTTAGAAGGTCCATGTCAGTTGTCATGTAAAAAGAAATGCATATATTGTGTTTCTTTTAAATTAGAAACCTTGTAGTCTACATACTCATATAGAACAATAACATAGATAAGCTTATTTAGGTATATGATCATATTCTCAGTACCTTTTCTACTTCATAAAATGACACTTTTATGAAGTCATAACACAAGTATATAGTTATGGTTGCATTTGTAAATGTAAAATAATCATTTGCGTTTGTATACACATGCACACCCTTTTATGTTCTTTTGTGAAGGAGCATATTGTACAGGATGCTTCACGCTAACACACTCTTTCGTATCCACCAGTGTAGCAGGTACAGGTACTCTCTCATGTTTAGCCAGTTCTTGAGTTATGCCGTTGTACACGTGGAGCTTTTGTTTGAGAGCTTTACTAATTTTGAGCATTGAGTCTCAAGCCATATAAAGATACTCTGCTTATCTTTCTTGGTTTGTTTTTTTTTTCAGATTTCTATAGTGATTGACGGCACAAAGAAGGTGATAGAATTTATGTTCCGCGGAGCTGAGGGAGATCTGTTGAACTACGTTTTTAAGAATCGAGAACTCCGCCCTCTCTTCGATCGTCAGTGGCATAAACTTGGCATTGGTGTGCAATCCCGAGTCCTTTCTCTCTATATGGATTGTCATTTAATTGCAAGTCGGCACACGGAAGAGAAGGACTCTGTGGATTTTCATGGGAAGACAGTTATCGCCGCGCGAGCTTCGGATGGCAAGCCTGTGGACGTAAGTCTAATAGTAACGCTCACAGGGTGCTTCCATCATCCCTAAGTTAAAACAAAATATCTTATTCAGAGTGGCTTCCTGGGTCCGTAAATGTGACTCCATAGGTAGCCAGCTTACATAGCCTGCATGGCACCTGAGACTTGAACTCCAGTACCACCCAAACCAGGCATGGTGGTTCATGATGTGCCCCCAATCACAGACTACAAAGGTATAGACAAGGGGATGAGAAGCTCAGTTCAGGATCATTCTTAGTCACATTGTGAGTATAATGTCAGCATGGCTACATAAGACCCAGTATAAGAAAGAAAGAGAAAAAATAAAGGAAGTAAGGAAGGACACAGGGAGGAAGGAAAAAAGGAAGGAAGGAAAGAAAGAAAAAAGAAAGGAAGGAAAGAAGGAAGGAAAGAAGGAAGGGAGAGAAGGAAGGAGGGAGGAAGGAAGGGAGAGAGGGATGGAAGGAGGAACCCATTTCTTCCTTTAATGATTACACACTCTAAAGACCTTCCTCTCATCAATGTTTATAATGTCATTAAATATCCGAAGAATAGTTATTCCCAACTCTATTTTCACAAATAATTATATTCTATAATTTTTTTCAACCTCATTTTTCAGTCAGCAAATTTAAAATAAATGTGTCATTCCTTTAAACCCTAGATGGCTGAGAGTAACTTTGAGCAAAAAAATTGAAAATAGGAGACAAAGACAGTATAAACTTGGCCAAACTTTTGTGTTTTAAGTAAAAATTGGAAAAAGACATACTTTAAATGGTTCCAGACTATCTGATGTTTTCATTCAAGAACAATAGGTAATTCATTCAAGCAATTCTACTTACTGCATTTTGCACAACTTATAATGTCTTTTTAGAGTTCCTTTGCACAGAAAAACAGCCATTAAATCTATCAGTGGCTCATTTGGATGAGCAGACAGCTAGGAAAACTCAGATGAAAGGCCCTTTAAAAATTACATATTGAAGCTAAGATGATATAGATTTACTGATTTACTGTCGATTTTCTTGCAAAAGAAGGCCTGTAATCTTTAAAGGGAGAGATCTGCCTACATTTAATAGCTAAATATTTTCTTATGGGTAAAATGATAAGGAAGTCTCCAAAAATCTGAATGCAGATGACCAGGAATAAATGCCAGAGGTGTAAACACAAAGTGCTGAGAGTGAAATTATATTTCAGAAATAAAAGTTCGGGAGGATGTTATTTCTTAATATCTGTTGGGAAGGAAAAACGTATAGATACAGATACATATTCCGGAAATATGATTTTTGTTTTTGTTTTTGTTTATCAAGATAGAGTTTCTCCGTGTCACTTTGGAGTCTGTCCTGGAGCTCTCTCTGTAGACCAGGCTGGCCTCAAACTCACAGAGATCTGCCTGCCTCTACCTCCAGAGTGCTGGGATTAAAGGCCTGTGCCATAACTACCTGGCCAGGAAATATAATTTTTAAAGCATTTTTCTCTTAGAGACTATGCATGAGCAGATCTGAAAGACAAGACTGTCAGGCTCTGTGATGAGGAAATGAAGAACAGGTGGAGCAGAACAGCCTGTGGTTGGTTTAGTGCTATTGAATCAGGATCACTCAGGTAGTCCAGACTGTTCTGGAAAACCACATATAACTCAAGTTAGCCTTGAGATAACCCTCACCTTGCATCAAAGTCACCACTTTGAGTATTTCAGGCAGGTGTTACAGGGTTCAGCTTTTGAACCTTGCTCAGGATGGCACTAATAAGACAATCCATAGACCTTAGGCAGATTTCATTAAGCATAGGTGAAAACTAAATATCTTCTGTTTACTTAATTAGGAATGGCACATTTACTTCATACCACAAATAGGACGTTTGGACCTAAAGAGAAAGCCTTTTCCATTCCATGTTAACACCTTTGTCTACCTTCCTGCAAAGTTTTACTTTTAAATGTCATTTCCTACAGTAGTATATGGTAGCACATAGCAATATATCTCTAATTAAATGTTTGTCTCTATTGCCTCCTTAATTCAACGTTTCATTTTTATTGCTTGAGACAATTAACTCCTTTCCTGTCTGAAGATCTTCCTGTGTAGCTGATGGGTTCTCAAATGATCCTTAAAGTAATGAATCATAACTTAAAATTGAACCCTATAAATGTGTATCCATCACTTGCATTAACTTTCCTTTCTTTCTATTTGAATTGCTATAGCTCATAATGCCTAGACTTGATTATCAACACCAACGATGCATATTACTACTTACTTTTTACAGATTGAACTACACCAGCTCATAATCTCCTGCAATTCTGACTTCCTAGCTAAGGAATCATGCTGTGACCTAGCAGCTAATAAGGTAGGCTAATTTTCATACTGGGTAAAACACCGACAAACGTTCGTTACCTTTCAACGTAAGGTCTGCAGATTCTGTGTGTAGGGCAGTATGAAGTATCTCAGCTGAATCTGGATGGATAACTTATTTCCAGTAGGGAGCCCTTCCAAGTACCTGCCCAAACTTCAACCACCATGTTGTACATTGCAATTTGATGGTGATTTGTTCTCACTCTAAACTTAGCATAGCTCAAGGAGGACTAACATCTTCCCCCTAACCTTTCACCCTTGTTTCATCTGAGACCCCGCTGATTGGAGGTGCTACCCCATTAAAGTCAAGTTTCTTCTGCATTAATTGGACTCACACTTTCAGTTAAGTCAGCCTGTCTTGTATAGTTTTGCTTTGTGACACATGTTGTTCTTTTCTTCTTTTCCCTGCCATTGCCCAATCCGCTTTTACTTCATGCCTGGCTTTCACAGCATCAAGCCAACTGCCTTTCTAACACACCTTCTTTTTCTTGGCGATATCACCAGAATGAATCTCTAAATCACTGGATTATATGTTTATTTGTTTTCCTACAGTAGATATTTGCTTTTAACCATGGATCTAGTAGACACTGAACTAAGGAAAAAGATAAACTGACATGAACAGAGTCCCTGTGTGGTCATCTTTTTCTCAGTGTCCTAAATGATTCCCTGTTGGCAACAACATATCAGCCCAGTAGAGTGGTCTCCCTTGTTAAATAGTCTTGACTTCCTTGTATAACCATTGTTCCTACATCCATGTTCTTCCTTCCAAGAAAAAAGGCAGTGCTTCCTGTGTCTCTAGTGCACTAGTCCCCCATACCATTGCATATTATGGATATAATAATTGTTTTTAATTGATTGAAGTACAAATTAGACAGAGATGGAGGAGTTACTTTCAAATTCTTTCATATCTAGCACATTGTTAGCAAAAGATTGTCGAAGTATGATTACTTTGTTTTCCAAACTGCTTTGATAAAATATAATGACCACGGGAGAAAGACTGTTTTTTTAGCTTATGATTCTAAAGGAAGAGTTCATAATGGTGGTGGGGAAGGTAGGCCTGGCAGGAAGCTGAGAGATCACCTCTTCAGCCTCAAACACAAGGCAGAGAAAATGAACTGGAAGTAGAACAAGGCTAGGAAGTCTCAGGGTCCTGGCAACGACTTCCTTCCTCCAAGGAAATGGCAGCCCTCAGACAGTACCACATCCGGGGACCAAGTGTTGAACTATTCGAGCCCTTGGGGGTCATTTCTACTGAAAATCAATGGAACCTCTTTGTTTGCTGATTTGTCCACTATGAAGTTGTGAGAAGGGAATAAGTTCCCCAAATTTCTACACTTGCTAAGAAGTCTACATGAAATTTTAACCAGGGATTTTTAATTCAAGAATTCACATAACTTCTCTCACACAGTTTGAGTAGCAGTGTGAAAATCTAGCCAAATAAATCCAGTCTTTCAAATATTTTGCCTTGCTTATATAACTTGGCTGTATGAAGCACATCTCAAACTCAGTTTATGGATCTAATTCCAAGCAAAGTGAAAGTCTGCCAAATATCTTTCTATAAATATCTAAAAAGATAACTTGAATGCCAATCTACAGACTTGAAATACCAAGGCTGCCTGAGCCTATACCTTTAATCATGAAATCCAAAAGTTTTTTTTAAGTGGTTATGATTGTATTTTATTAGGGTTCTTAAAATAACCATCTTCTGCCATTTAAAAGTAATATAGTTATGTTTTAATATCTGTAAATGTAATATTCGTGACCAATATTCATTGCCTATGTTAACTATGGTGCTATAAAAATGGTTTAAATATGTATAGGTGAAGAATTGGATAAAGTAACTTAGTAGCTAAAGTCAGACTTGACTTCCCAATTGTTAACAGTTCTTGTTAGTTTTATACTGCTAACCTTAAAATTAAATAAAAATAAATAATGTTTATAAGGATTATTTGGAAATTGGTTTTGTAGTTGAAAATACGTTAGAAATTCATACCAACTATATAAGAACAACCAAACACAGTAGTTCTCATGTGGATAATTATTTGTGGTGAGGACATCACCATCCACTGTGTAGTTAATAATAAATAACAATCTGACACATTTCATAGACACTTAAATAAGATAATCATACAAAAGTCATTTAGACACACTTGGTGAACTTTTGATCATAACTGTCTTCTTTGCTTCTTATTTTTGAAAAATGTTTTAAAGGGGGCCAGAGAAATAACTCAGTGGTTAAGAGCACTTGTTATAGAACCATGTGACCAGAGTTCAAAACCTATCACTAGAACAAACTCCACACGACTGATGATGTAAGGGGAAAACTGCTTAGAAAATAATGAGTTTTGGGGGGGGGAGAATAATCTGTCTTAGCGGTGTTCTTGTTTCATCTGAATATAATTTATAAGATTTTGGATTTAAAAATTTGTTAGGATACCCAATGATCACCCAATCTAGAGGCAAAGAGCATGAAATCCCTAGGGCAAAACACAGGAATCTGGTCCCAGTGTCTCGGGTGCTGTTTGTTACAGGTTTTATTGTTATCAAAAGTACTAGAGTTCTATCTATTAAAAAACAATTTATGAATTCTTATTTTAGAAAGTAAATACAGGAAGTAAATAAATATCAGACACAAGGACAAAAATAGATATCCACCATGGTCTCACACCACAGAAGAAAACCCCCAAGAATCATTCATAGTCATAACACGTTTTCCCATACATATGTAATCTGCAGTACACAAAGCAGCTGGTATGTTCTTCCACTGTTGTTTTCAGTTTACCGAAGCTGCAAATAAAGAATTAAGCCCAAGGACCAGGGTGGTGTCAGGTGTCCAAGAGAGCCATTCTCCTTACAATCACCTTGCTAATCAATTTTCCTCTATATTATAAAGTATTTATTTATTTACATATGTGGATGTGATGCGTGTGCATGCATGTGTATGTTGGCATGTGGATATATGCTATGGGTGCAGGTGCAGAAGAGCAGAAGAGAGCATCAGAGGCTAGAATAACAGCTGGGGCTAAGTCCACAGTTATAGGTGGTGAGAACTGACCTTGGCTTCTCTGCTAAAGAAGTCTTAATTGCTCTTAAGACTCTTAATTGCTCTCTCTCTTGCCCCTTAACTAAATTGGGATGGAGGGAAAGATTTTCTCTCTTTATAACCAAACTTTACTTTATGTTGTTCAGCATGCTCTAAACTCACAAGATTTGGTATCCTCCACTTTTATAACTTTAAAGGATATTAGAGTAGAACAGAGTATACTCATGATTAACTAATTATGATCTTTGTATGTGAAAAGAAGTAACTTCCAGCTTTATATACAATTATAGCCAGCTTCTTGTGGTAATTATACTTTATCAATTAAATGTATATGCTTTTAAACCTTTGTTTGCCAGATACTTTTTACATTTTGCTTGTGTAAAGTCTTATATTAATATTTTAAATGTACAATATTACTATACTTACAATAAGACCAACTAACATGACTAAAATTTTCCCCAAAATAATCAGTTTTCCTATATTCTTCATGTGTTGTCAGTGTGGGTAAACATAACATGATGGGCCTGCTTGTTGGGGTTTCTGGCTGCCCGATTCTCCAGCCATTTAGTCCCAAAGAATCACACAGAAGGTCTACATAAGTTATAAACTGATTGGCCCGTTATCATAGGTTTCTTGTTAACTCTTATAACTTATATTAAGCCATTATTCTTATCTATGTTAGCCACATGGCTCAGTACATTTTTCAGCAGGGTAGGTTATATCCTGCTTCTTTGGTGTCTGGACAGTACTGCAAGGAATGGGCTTCCTCCTTCCCAGAATTCTTTCATTGTCATTTTCCCAACTCTACTTCCTGTCTGGTTGTCCTGCTCATGCTTCCTGCCTGGCTACTGGCCAATCAGCATTAATTTAAAACATAATTGACAGGATACAGAATTGTCCCACACCAGGTAAATATACTTGAGGATTTGTGATAGAGCAAAAGCTTAGTAATTTTTCATATCTGGATGACAGTGTTTGATTAATAAGAAGGAAGTATGGCTGTCAAATAGCTATCTCTGGTTCGATACTACTAGCATCAAGAACTAACACCATTCTCTAAATTCTCTTTGGGGATTTTAGTGTCCTGAGCAAGACAACCTTGGAAGTACCACTCCATCATGGGTGACCACTCACACTGGTGAGATGTCTTTATATCTGCCGGGAAAGCAGGAACTTAAAGACCCGTGCCAGTGCATTCCAATCAAGGTATGCTAGCCTTCATATATACACAACAAAAGGTTACTTCTCACAGTGGTCTGGACTCCTTGACTGAGGCCTGTGGTCCTCAGAAGGTACCTTTTCTTTAGTACTGGTGAAATCAAATATCAAAAATAATACAACTACCAAAGTACATCAGAAAAAGAAATCTAAGTTTCACTTATTGGATTTTGCCTTCCCTTTTTGAAATATTATTATCATCATCATTTTTTCTTACATCCTGACCACAGTTTCTCTCCCTCCTCTCTTTCCAGCTCCCTCTGTTTCCCCCATCCACTTCTCTTCAGAAAAGGGCAGGCCTCCCATGGATATCAACCAAAAATGACATATCAAGTTGCAGTGACATTAGGCACCTCCCCTCATATTAAGGTTGGACAAGGAGACCAAGTATGAGGAAAGCAGTCCCAAAAGCCAACAAAAGAGTCAGAGACAGCACCTACCCCCACTGTCAGGAGTCCCACAAGAAGATGAAGCTACACAACTGTCACATATATGCAGAGGCCCTAGGTCAGATCTATGGTGGGCTCCCTGGTTGTTGAATAAGCATCTATGAGTTCCTATGAGGCCAAGTTAGTTGATTCTGTGGGGTTTCTGTGGTGTCCATGATGCCTCTGGCTCAACATCCTTTCTCCCCCTCTTCCATGGGGTTTCCCCAGCTCTGCCTCATGTTTGACTGTGGGTGTTTTTTAATTCCTTTTTAATGTGTGAAAGTGACATTTAACAGAAAAAATGAAGAGAAAAAGCACTGTATGACAAGGAATATGAAGTATGTAAAAATGTTAGGAGTCCTGAGTACACAGCACATGCTAGGAACAGGCTACAGTTTGGGAATTTGGTGCTGGAGGAAAAGTGTCTGATCTTCAACAAAGACATAGAAAAACACTCTGTATAGTAACTTCTCCTTTCCTGTCTGATGATATTTGTGCAACAACTACACATATTTAACTAAGTGCCTTTCTTCTATTAATTGATTGTCTCTGTTGGTCATATTCAATTTATTAACTTCATCTAAACCTATATGGTTCTTTAATCAATGATGCTGTGCCCATGGACCTTCACAAGCATTCTTTTTGTGTTCATAGACGTTGATTAGGTGTGTTCTAAAAAGAGGCCATTGGAGAACTAAATAGTGGAAGGTAAATACAATAAGTGATAGGTAGGTTGATAGGTAGGTAGACAATATATAAATGATAATAGAGAGATGATAGATAGATAGATAGATGATAGATAGATAGTAGATATATAGAAGATAGATAGATGGTAGATAGTAGATAGATAGATAGATAGATAGATAGATAGATAGATAGATAGATAGATAATAGAAAAACAGACAGGAAGATTTGACTTTAGAACAATGAAACAGAATGATTTTGACATGGGCATTTATCTTTTTCCCCCTCAGGAGGAAGCAGGCTCACCAACTCTGGGTTCCCTTGGACCAAAAGGGAACAAAGGAGAACCGGTAATGTGTGCACAACTAATTCTCTTGGGATAAAGGGATTTGTTCAGATGTAACTTAAGGTTTTTCTACCTCATAATCTCCATGAACACATTTCACAAAGGTTTTCAAAAACTCAACTGAGATGAAGATCTCTGTAAACCAGAGTCCTGTCAGCATTTGAGTCTGCTTCTGAGATCATGGTAGGAAATTCGGAGAAGCTTAGAACCACGAGTCTGTACCTCTACGTTCTAAACAACACAGTAAAGCAGGCGTGTGTCCCAGCTGCCTGCTACCCTTCCTCATTGTTCTTTTCTTCAGACATCTGAGAATCATACCCTCCTTGTACATTGATAGGTCCCTACTGAGCAGGATCCAATGGCGAACCTTCACTAGGTAGCTGTGGGAAGCTTGTTACTGCAGGTTTTAGGGGCAATAAAGAGTAGGATAAGCTGCTTCCTGGGATGTCGCTCTGGGAAGAAGATGGCGAATATCTATGTTAGATGCCATATGAGAATTTTAAGAGTCCTAAGAAAACTACCCAGAGAGACTGGAAAGAACTGAACAAGGCGTATGCTGCAAGCTCCTGACCTGTCAGTAGGCGAGAACCCATCGTCAAAATTTGTCTTCCCTTGGACAAGCTCAACTTCTCTGTAATGTTTTCTGATTTTTTGAGTGTGTCTTCTAGCTAATCATATAAGTTAATTTATACTATGGTCAGGTGACTGTCCTTTCTTCTCAAAGGGAAAATAGACTTCAATTCCTCACTTGGAAATTCATGATTATTTACATACTCTAGTTGAGCTTTTTTTTCGGAAGGAGGTTAATGCCTGACAGAGCCTCAGGACTTCCACAGAGTACGTGGAATGTCTCTCCATCATACTTTTCATGACATAGTCTATCATTACAGTGGGTGCTGGAGAGGATATTTCTGAAGTGAAAGGGGACTGATTATTTCAGTTACAAATCTTGGGCTCCTAGGCTTTTGGTATCATTATATGAAAGTTCAAAATAATTAAACACATTATGTAAAGACGACTTAAATCAACTTGAGCACTCAAATCATTCCAGACAGTAAATATACGTATTTACTGTTCACCGTGTGCAAACGCTGAGGCCAATGCTTTTGATGCTCTTGCATTTAACTCTCATACAAGTTTTCATGTTGGGAATTAGTATTGCCATTTTACTGATGGAAAGACTGAGGGTTAGTGAGGCTTAATTATTGCCGAAACAGCATAGGTTGAGGCTGAGAACTGAGTCCAGGTCTGCCGAGTCCATTTTCCTTCCCTTGACTGATCTCTGTTTTGAAGGCGACTCCCTTTTCTGAAATGTACCTCGGTATTATGTGTGTTCTGTCATTGGGGTATTCTCTACTCTGTACTATTTTATCCTTATCAACTTGCTCAGAGTGTCAGTCTAGTATTTGTACCATCGTCTTTCAACTAGGGGGACTATGCATTGTAAACGGCCTGCAGAGGTAATAAAGTGAACTCCGTGGAGAAAGATCCAGGGATCAGTCCAACTCTTCTTTGCTGAAAGGTTTGAACTTGGCTACGCCTCTCGGGCTCTTGACGTTTCATTTTCTTAACTGAAAGGCAAGTGTTCTGAGAATTGGAACAATTAACATTAAAAAAAAAAAACTGTCCGTTAATTCCTCCCTCAGGTACCTCGAGCAGTTTTATTTTGCGTCCAGGTTACTTTAGTTGCTCCCAAGAGTCGCACAGGGTCCAGATTCATTCCGCTTCCAGTGGAGCTAAATACAGTATCAGCTTAGGTTGCTTTCTCTGTAGCCAGTTTCGTGCAGCTTAGAGACCCTACTTAGTGGCGAGCATCGCCCTGGTATTTATAGAAACACTCAGTCTTTGACCGCGTTCTCGTCCCAGGGTCTGCGTCCATGGCGGTGCCAACTCTGCTTCTAACTTCACTTTCATTTAGTTGTGAGAGGGATTTAACGCTTGTGGAAAAGAACTACCACCAGCAGGGTGTTTCTTCACGTCTATAATCTAAGGTTTAACATTTATTTTAGGTAATTCTGATGAGCCCGTGCAAAATAAAAATAATAAGCAAGTCACTGTTATTTTATTCGATGGTATAGCTGATATACTTTACAAAGATTTGACTCTAATGAAGAAATTGTCAGTCTTTTAAATTTCAAAATTTTAAACCAAACTCTAGTTAAATATTTCAGATAGAATGCTCCTGTTGCTTTATAATAAAAATACTGTATCTGACTTTTGGTTTGTGGCCTGTGAGAGTAACCTTTATTGGCTGAATCATTATTTTCAAATGGGATTTTTTTATATTTAAACAAGAAACTGATTTATGATTATGGAATTAGGCATATTCTGAACAGTATTAAGCAGAATTTGCATACTAGTTTCAATTTATATCTCCCCCAATATGATATTGTACTAAATTAAATTATTCGCATGCAAATTCTATTGTTGTAAGATAGACGCGCACTTAGACGTCTGGCAAAGTGACAGCAGGAATTATTCTTCGAGAGGACCCTGAACAAAGTGGCGCTCAACCAAGGTGGCTTCTTTTCCTCTGTGGAGACAGAAGCAAACTAATACACTGTGTAGCACTGTTTTGTGAAATGTATTTTTGGAGAATGGATTCATTTGGACTTTAAGAATGAAGAATTACAACATTTAATTATATATATATATTTTTTACAAATTACCCTTATCAGCCAGTGCAGACATGAATAGGCGTTCCTCACCTTATACATAGAGCCTTCCTGTCAAATATCACAAATCAGTAACTGTCTGCATCACATATGCCGCTCACCTGAAATTCTGCTTACGTTTGGTAAACTGACTGTTGTTGGTTCATAGGGAAATGTTCCATTCTATAGTAAATACCTGGCTACTTTTGGTAAGCTTATGTAGATAGGCAAGTGAGTTAAAGGAGTGGATGAGTTTCCAGAAGAAATAAACACAGGAATGCATAGAATCACAATGCACAACTGCTGTTCCCCCCACATACCTCCCCACATCCACACACACACACACACACACACACACTCCCACACACATTCACGCACCCACACACATGCACATACCCTTGCACATACAGACACATTTTGTCCTTCTTGTCTAAAGTGGGAAATTTTGGTAAGGTGAACAGTGGCTGAGCGTCTCGCATCTCCAGTTCGGGAGCCACACATGCTTTCACTGCTGCATACTGTGTACAAAAATTTGCTTTACTTCTTACTCCTCTTATGTGCCAGTACATTGTCCATTGTTTGAGGGAGATATCTATAGTTTTTAAAAATAAGATTATTTTCCAATAATGTCTATTTTACTTATGCGATAGTAAAAATATAACTAAAATAGAACCTAAATGATGCTAACGTAATATTTGTTTTCTAAATGATTAACTTTTACCTAAGGAGGAGCAATCTGTTTATTTATTTATTTATTTATTTATTTATTTATTTATTTATTTATTT